TAAACCCGGAGAAATGCATAACCAGGTAATTGGCATAAATGTGTAATTTTAATATATCGCTTCTTTTTAACTTCGGCCTGATAGAAACAATGTTGGTTGTGATGCTTCCACATTTTTCCTAGATGTATTTTTTGATTTTTTACTTTGTTGCTTCTGCCACAAACGATTCCTGTTATATATAGGTTGTTGAAGTGAATGTCAGAGTTGAAGAACCTGGAAAGGACAATGTTCACAATAATGCTTTCTATGCTGAGGAAACTCTACTTAGATCCGAATTAGAAGCCATGCGTGATTGTGATCCGTTATCAGCCCGTCACTGGATTGTATGCTTACTTATCCATCTCATTGTCTGATTTTTAGTTTTCATTATTAAAATGCAACATTACCTTATCCGCCATAATTCAATTACACTTCATAGTTAAGCACATTTTAGAGTCTGAGATCTCTATCTTTTGATATTGGTGGCTATATTGTTAAAACAAGTGTCTTCATCTATTTTGCTGGTAATTTACACTGCTTTGCTAAATTTTTGGCCTGTTCATCTAAGTTTTACATCTCATTGCATACTACAACCGTTCCATTTATTTTTTGCAGATAAGGAACACTAGGACTGTCAATCGGAGTGGACAGTTGACAGGCTACAAATTGGTGCCTGGTTCTAACTGCTTGCCGTTGGCAGGTCCCGAAGCTAAGTTCTTAAGGAGGGCTGCATTTCTGAAGCATAATCTGTGGGTTACACAATATGCACGTGGAGAGGATTTTCCGGGAGGAGAGTTTCCAAATCAGAATCCACGTGTCGGTGAAGGTTTGGCTTCCTGGGTGAAGAAAAATCGCCCTCTGGAAGAGTCTGATATTGTTCTCTGGTTAGTTCTCAAGTTGCCTTTTCAGAATGTGTGTTTGTTTATAAATTATTTCAACTCATACTCAATTCATACTCAAAATTCAACTCAACTTTAACCCAATCTCACTATCATCAATATATTATCAATATAATAAATAATATTAACCAATCACTCTTACATATAACATATCACATTAACTTTAACTAACTATTCATCCACTCGCATAATTTTAACTGGCAATCACTTCACATTATCTCTCATATTTTTACATCAAATTAAAATTTAATTATTTTAATTATGTCCATTGTATATGGAGCTGGAAGAGTCATTGTTGACAATTCTCCTGGCGTAGTGCTAATAATGGACTAGATCAAAATGGCTCAATTAAATTCTAGTGCTTCTTCTATTAGTGAAGTTTCTAGAAAAAATATATCAAACGACGCAACGCACCTTGGGTCGCTATGGAAACAGCCTCCTTGTATAATTACAAGGGTAAGGTCTGCGTACAACTGACCCCCCAGACCCCAACCTGTTGGAAATATACTGGGTATGTTGATGTTGTTGATGTTAATATAAACTCAAAATCCCACTACAACTAATCATACTCAAAATCTAATCAACTTTAACCCAATCTCATCAATATTATCAATATAATTAAATAATATCAACCAATCACTCTTACATATCACATCAACTTTAAATGACTATTCAACCCCTCACATAGTTTTAACTAACAATAACTTCACATGATCTCTCTCATACTTTTACATCAAATTAATTTTAAATATTTCAATATAAGCTCAAAATCCTACTACAACTAATTATACTAACTTTTTAAAAATTAACCATGATTAACAAAAAAACCTATTTTGAGCGATATATTTGTATACAAGCATGCCCTTAGTTCTTTTCAGGTTATGTTCTAATACATGAATTTATAATAGGCCAATGGGTGATGCAATTTCTTATGCTTTGATCTATCTTTTGCTCTCCATTTCTAGAGATATGCAATCTATACTTGAAGTACGGAAAAAGGATATGGTTACTTGTACCAGTTCTCACTTTACTACCATATGACTCTATCAAGAAACTCTAAACTTTCATGGTTCATGAGATTTATTGTGTTGTGAATGTTTTAATGAGCCAAAGTATTGAAGTGAAATAAGTTGCTTTTTATTGTACAGGTATGTTTTTGGGATTACACATGTTCCTCGACTGGAAGACTGGCCGGTTATGCCAGTAGAACACATTGGTTTTGTGCTTCAGGTAAAACTCGGCTCGAAATAATATTCTTGAATTTGGCATATACTAAACTCTCTTTGTGACAATGGTTATTTGTTGCTTTCTCGTGTGGTGCAGCCTCACGGTTTCTTTAACTGTTGTCCAGCCGTTGATGTTCCACCAAACGCTTGTGAAATGGATGTAAAAGAAAACGACTCAAAAGAAACTGAGGTGCCTAAGCCTGGTTCACCTCTTCTTATAGCAAAGCTCTGAATGATAAACCCGACTTGCTATTTTCTTTAGTTCGGTTCTACTATTTGCGGTCTCTTGTCTAGTTTCTTTGCCAACTAAAACCACTTCGTTAGCTTTGAAAACTCATGGTTGGTAGACATATTATGACTTGAAATGAAATGTTTTAATTTTCTCTATGTAATGAAGTTGGATGTTTTGGATGAGAATTTTTATGTTGTGGAATTGTAGATGAGGTTTTTCTATTGAATTGAGATGATTTTAATTAACTATTATTGTTTCTAACACCACACTTCCACATCTTAGGTTGTTTTGATTATGGGATTTTACAAAGCTCAATTGCAAGACAAACAAGCTAAGAAAATCTTCTAAAGACAATCACCCATTTAGTCTCATTTGGAATCCAATTAATCAATAGTAGTTTTGAAATATTTAAAATTGGCCAACTTGTAAAAACACTTTTGACTGACCGGAAATTTGAATTTCACCTGAAAATTGGCTTTGTAGTAAACACTTCAACACGAGCAACAACATGAGAGTTTTCAGAGCTTGTTTGTCTTGCAACTGAACTTCGTAAGATCCTATAATCAAAGCAAACCTAAGATGTTAAAGTGTGGTGTTAGAAACAACAATATCTAATTAAAATAATTTCAATTCAATGGAAAAACCTCATCTGCAATTACACAACATAAAAATTCTCATCCAAAACATCCAACATAGAGAAAATTAAAACATTTCATTTCAAGTCATAATATGTCTACCAACCATGAGTTTTCAGAGCTAACGAAGTGGTTTTAGTTGGCAAAGAAACTAGAGTTTTCACAATTTTTCATGTAATTATTGCATTGTCAACTCAAATGCTCAAGGTGGGTATATGACACGAGTTTGATCCTATGACCTTCATTTTGGAAAGGGCTATTTTCTTTTCTTTTTAGGTAGACAACTGTGATTCATAATTCATATTCAATGAAACACAATGTCCCACAAAACTTTTGACATTTTTCTTTTGCATTATATGTCCTATATTTTCAGTATACACTTGCAAAATTTTCATAATGTAGCTTTTGTTATGAGCTACAAAAATTAGTTTCCACATATATATATATGTGGAATAATAACGATGTACAAATTAATATTGCACACAATTTGATGTGAACAAGTCCATCGGGTTCAACTTGTTCTTAATGGTCCACAAGTCCCGTATATAACCAAAATTGCTTATTTTACATTTAAGCTCCATAATTTATTGTCATAAATTCATTGAAATTTGTTATTTATAATTATTAATTAATAGTGAGAAAATTGGTTGATGTAAATAGCTTGATTTTTTTTTTTTTTATATAGTCATTTAATATAGTGTCAGCAATTAATGGAAACTTGAAGTATATATTTCCATCCATTATTAATATGAGATAATAAAAACTAAGTTATATTTCTAATAAAACTGAATACGAAGTTTGAACTATTCTCAAAGTAAGGTCTTAGACGCGTATATAAATGTCGGCTTCAAACCCTACACGAAATAGGAACAACTTATTAAGAAACAAAATATGAAAGGCAACGGCTAAGAAAACATACTGCAAATGATGGAATTTGGGTTCAAAAACTATTTACTCCGTCACACTAGGTGTGATGAGTTTGATCACAATCGTCGTTTCGCTTTCGGATATAGCCATTCCGAACCCAAACGCAAAAAGTTACGTCTATTTTTGAGTTTTGCAGACGAACACTTTTCAAACGATTCTCGACAACATAAAACTCATTTTCTAAAGGTTAACACATCAATTAACAACAAATTAAATATCAAGATTTTTCTTGGGAAAACTGAATAACATTATGCATGCTAGGGCCGGTAAACGAGCTGAGTCGAGCTCGAGCTTAGGGTGCTCGAGTCCTTAACGAGTTCGGCTCGTTAAATAAATGAGCTAGAAATTGAGCTCGAGTTTGGCTCATTTATCACTATTAATAAGTATTAACAAATAGAGTTCGAGCTCTAACGAGCCGATCTTGAGCTTTGACAAGCCGAACGATATAAAATTATATAAAATTCTCTTTTTGAGCCTTAACGAACCTTATCGAGCCGAGCTTGTTAACCAAATGAACTTTAAATGAGCTCGAGCTCACCTCGTTAAGGCCCCTAACTCGAGCCGAACTCGAGCATTAACGAGTCGAGTTCAAGTCGAGACGAGCCAGACTCATTTAATTTAGCAGCACCAGCCACATTTTTGAAGTCATGCCCATAGTTGATTTTATGAGAAAACCACTCCATCTAAATCATTTATTCATTTTTTTTTTCTTGATCATAGCTTCTATTTTCTAATTTTGTTATATTGTTGAAAACAAAATGAATCTTGCCTGCTTAAATCCCACCAAAACATTATTAGATTCCCATTACCTATTATCTATAATTTTCTTCAATTACATGTTGTGTCTAATCTTACCTTTTTTTCAAAGATGACATATGCATGCATCTGATCTCAAAATAGATGTCTTTCTAAAATGTTTTGGGGAAATAACTAATTATGACACAATTGAATCTGAAATAAAGACAAACTTTATTTATAACATCATTATTTTCCTCTCATGCCAAAATTAAGCAAAATAAACAAATTTAAACAAAATAAACAAATTTAAAAAATAAATTTTAAAGCACACATACTATATATATGTTGCATATACACATACTGCTTATATTTGATTGTAGACATCCAAATTTACCCCTGGCAACCCCTGAGAAAATGCTGCCAGTGTGTAATTACAAAAAACACCCCCTGAGCTCTCTTGATCATCAAACCTTTGAGATTGAGTCCCTTCTTGCCACAATGTACTTGGCCTCTTTTCTTCAACCTCAAACCGAAAAAACGGGTCGAACTTATAATTTTCCCGAGGGCCCCACGACATAATGCCGCCGTTTTCGACCATGTTGCTGACATCCATGTGGGCCCCGGTCGAGCTCGACTCCACCATCATGCTATTATTGTGATCCAAGTTCGACAAGTTATTGACGAAAACGCCCCTCGATTGGTAATAATGCTCGTTTTCGACATTAGCTTGAAAATCGGGTAAGTAAAGAGGGTCGTACGTAATAATTTGCTGCTCGACTTGCGAGGGTGTAGCTAAATTCGGAAGCCCTCTCGGCTGATGAAATCGTGTCTCGATTTCGGTTATGGGCTTGTGAGTGTTGGGATCAATCCCTTGTTTGATGAGTTTCTTCTTGAGGCTTGAGTTCCAAAAGTTTTTGATCTCATTGTCTGTTCTACCTGGCAGTTGAGCTGCAATTTGGGCCCACCTGCCATTTTTTAGGGTAAAATGGTCATTTGGCAAAGTGCATGGAAAAAAAATCTGCAAATTTCAAATTTTTTTTACTGTTTGATCAATACAGAACCGCGATGTATAAAACCCGCTTATGTATTTCCGTTTTATAAAAAA